AACCCAGCTGAATCTCTCGTTTATGATGTTCTCAGGCAACTGAATGTGCTGCACCAGGCCGCCTCATGTTTCAGTCGCTACGATATTTGAAATATCGCCTTACATGTATATATTTGTAATGTACTACTCATAAGCTTGCTGTCGATGAATTTACAGCAACCTTATGAGTAGTACATTACAAATATATAGACTGGGACTTGTTTTGCAAACGGTGACTTCCCACAACTGAAGTCCTATTTTGGCTAGCTGAATGCTGTATATTACTCACCGGCTCCAGAACAAGCATAATATTTCCCCTTGACCTTAAGAAGGATATGCTTTGAAGAATCTAACATGTTTACTAGATTTCAGGATTATTTTTATTCCATTAGAGAAGTTTCTTCCTAACAGAGAGCTTACTAATGTAAAATGACTAGAAAAACACTTTCCTTTCACATACCAGTCCTTTGAAAACTGACAAGGAGTGTTTCTGGAATGTACGCAGTAGAAGACTGAATTCGAGCTACTTCACACCTCGACTATTTGTTCTATTGCCTTGAGCGCATTTCTACGGTAGCTATTACTGTGCAATAGCCATACTTCCATTTACCCAGACGTCGTGAAATCTTGTGTGGTGGATGGCTATAGTTCGACGTACACCTTTTTGGTCTTTTCACCATTGGGTCTCAAATGGAAAGTACCAGCAGGGCACAAGTACATGAAGGTGATCAACGGCCTGAGTTGAAAGGATCGATTGCACTATTTGCTACGGTATGCCTAACAGCACATTCTGTGACAATTCTTTGCCTGAAGTGACACGGCCGCAGTAGATTTTCAATGGGGAATTTAGACACAGTAGAAGACTACCTCACCTCCCATTCGCAACTGCATCCCAGCGGTTGATGGCTACTTTTTTTTACTTATAGCGTACAAGGTCTTATTATATATGATGCGCACGAATGCACTTAATCGTGTAGAAATATACTGGCCTGATGATGACTGACAAATGTAAGCCTTTTGACATTTTTCAAGTAAAATGCATATCACACGAAAACCCAATAGTACACGTAACCTTCGGTGCAGGATACCCTATACATTCTCTTAGAAAAAGATGTGTATGACCCATACATGTTACCTGAATACAATTTAGATTTCAAAAGGACGTCACTTTCCCGGCGTGAATATACTCGTGAAGGGAATATCTTTGCTGCAGAGTTGTTTATTAGAAAACACCAACTGAACAGTTACAGACTATTGGACGGGGAAGTAAAACTCTCATATGCATCTCGTTCATAAAAACTGTGTATCCATCTTCTTCTCGAACACGTCTTCCTGAAATTTCCTGGATATTCATTGACTAGTACTAAAAATTAGACGAATGCTACAAAGCGACTCCATAAATTCTGCAATAGATCTCACTTTTCAGGAGACGCGAAGCGGATTTACGAGCATACTACTCGCGTGTCCCATCAGTAGCATCCACAGTCACACTCGCAGCATTATTGTTTCGTAGCCAATGAGGCTGTTCGTTTTGTTCATCGAGTGAAAATTTGAATGGTGCCATGCGAATTTGCCCAAGTGATTTCGCTCTTTGTCTTACAGAGTGACAGCACGAAGCAAGGTTCTGGTTGATTCCGCATGCCACCCACAAACGATTGATGTTGTACGTTCCAGAGCTAAGTAAGTTTTATATGAACGGTTTGCCGTTTTTATTTTGCAATTGAAGAAATGGTTGTTTTGTATTCCTATACCTGAGAAAATTCTAACGAGTTCTTAACAGACAAGACTAAGATCATTTCAATTAGAAAACTATATACCTAAAATCCAGATGAAAAGGCAGGTGCCCGGAAAAAGAGACCACTCTTCTGCCTCCACATTATTGAACTTTTACTCTATCACTGTGGCTCATTCTCTAGAACACTCAGGTGGTAAACGATAGGTCACGATTTGAGCCCACTGAATTAAGTGCGGAGCAATCTTGTCTTCAAGGTAAACGAACACGAGGAGTGGGTTATCCAGTCTCTTCTGTGAAGTGAAATTTCTTCTGGAGATCTGACAGATGATCGCACCTGACAAGGAACGCTCTTATGGGTGGATGGCTTCTCTTTGATGATGTCTCTATTCGGGATTGCTCCGTTTAAATTTTAATTCATTGCTATTTTCTTTTCACACATGCAATACACATTTTGTTTCAGCGGCCTTGATTTCGAAGTTCAAGTGCTGGACTTCAAGGATACGATGGAAGTGGAAAAGTTACTGGCAACTGACACATTTGCTGCATGTCTGATGCAATACCCGGACACTGAGGGAAACTTGCATGCTGAAATGGTGTCCAAAATTTCAGAGATGGCGCGCAAGCATAAAGTGAGCGTGTGCATTTTGATTCCCCCGAGGACACGTCACCTAACCGCACTACTCTTGTGAACTTTTTAACTGAACAACAGGGAACTTTTTCTGTTGCATTCTCTCCCTCTTCTTGAACTAGGAGAGGGTAATACAGCTTCCAAAATGGCTTATAAAAACATATTTATATATATTTGAAACATTAATAGTGGAGTCGCCATTGGCTGATTGTCGTTAGACTATGGCAGTCAGACGTTAGGCCTTGACCCCCATCTACGTTAAGGTACACCATGCTGGCTTAGATGCGAGTGAGTCCCTGCGTGCCACTTGTGCGTTCGTTTCCCTCATTCACTGAGCGATTTCATCATTGGGTGTATCTACTACTATACTTGTATCAAGATGAATCTTGACCCTAGACCTTCACGCCTGCTGGTGACAGACAAGATGGCTGATATTGTCAACATGGACACTGGGTGTTATCGGGGAAAAGTGCACAAGCCAAAAACGCTGTTGCACTGCCGCTATGACAACAATTTCGGCATACCCTGTCATTATCCAAACTGACCGAATCATGGAAAAAAATGCTTGCACATCTGGTTGCTATCGTTGCAGCCATGACAGTGCAAATTCAGTGGTTCGGCCTAAGAGCATTACAGCATTAATTAGTCGGTATGTCAGTAATTCTGATCTCCGCGTACCATAAATAGGACAGTGCAGTGTGATCGAAGTCTGTACCCCAATGAATGGAGTCTACTTGAAGAATTTTTCCGTAATGTTCAGTTATGAATCGTTTCATACGAGCTCAATACAGCGTAATTGACAGACTCTAATGAATATCTTGAGTGCGTCCTACCATCTGTTTCTCACCAGACACTTTCCGTCGTTGCAACCGATCTTTTGGCGTTGACTTTAGTTCGGTCACCGGGTGAGCTTGGCGCTGATGTGGCCATCGGTTCGGCGCAACGTTTTGGTGTGCCAATGGGGTTTGGAGGTCCACACGCTGCCTTTTTCGCAACACGCCAAGAATTCGTTCGAGCAGTACCTGGTCGTGTGGTTGGTATTTCGAAGTAAGTGTACGTGGTCTAAGCTCGGATGATGTATCAAATCGCTCCTAACATTCATTTTTCTCTACACTCGTCTCGTATACCATCAAAAAAGGTACAGCACCTAAACGTAACTTATCGTACTTGTGTCATAATACTCCCTATGTCAGTTGATTGAAATTTCGGTTCCCAAAATGATCGATATCTATGCTGAAAGGCCGAAAAGCAGTGCAGCGTACTTGACGAGTCCACGGAGGGATTAAAACTCCCAGTTATTGGTTGGTGCCTATTCTACTGGCCGGACAGCAGCGTGATGAACCTAGACAGAACACTGCGCCAGATTCACACCACCCACGTCACAGGATCCGTCCACGTGCTTCCTGAGTGATGAGATCCTGAGAGAATTAACCATAGTTTGTAGATAAACAGAACATTTTGAACTCTCACTTGACATTTGATTCTTCAATTCGAATTCATCTATGTTGAACATTTGAGAGGGGTAGTATACAGCTGTTTCATGAGTTTTGGGGGTTACCGTCATCATCTGGAGAGGATAAGTGCAAGTAAACATCATGGAATCGGTAGATACAAACCATTTGAAATCATTCGTGAAAAGGCATCAGACAGTATGAAAAGATTATCCCATTCCAGATCCCACACTTTGGGCCGATATCAAATAAAAACAACACTAAATTCCTACAGCTCCGTTCAAGTAGTATCATCTCTAAGCCTGTGCGAGTCGGAAGTACGCTATCCGAATAGGGTAACTGCTTTTTAGTGAAATATCTGTTTGAAAAAATTCTACCACTTATGGAGCATAGTTTACCCTGTCTTGTGTATGCTTAGGAGCCGCCTACAGTGTTTCCATGAGACCTTTCACCGTAAAGCATTGTGCAGTTCTTTGGCACTGCAAGACAACCTGGTTTTTCTTACAAGTCCAAATGCAGCGATTTCAGCATTACAGTGAACGATAACAAAAGTTTCTTTTATTCTCAAACGCTGAGGATGAGTGACTAGTTTGAACTGGTCCTTCACTAATTACAATCATCACTTTTACTAACTAATCCTCTGTTGTTATTTCAGACATTGTGTTATATATATATATA